GGAGCGGCGGGATTTGGGCCGCGTTCGGCCTCCGGGGGCCCTCGCGGGGCCTCGGGAGCGTCAAAAAACGACTCGGGACGAAAACCTGTCCCGGGGAAGTGGTCGGGACCTCTGGGGTCCACGCACCCAAAACACTGGAGCAGCCGGACGTCTGGGTTCCCCCCTCGTGGCCGACTCTCTCTGGGCATGTCCAGCTCAGACCCCCCCGGCCGCCTCCAACGCTGGAGTGCTCCATGTGCACGGCCAGCTTCTCGAGGTCGCGCTTCGTGCTCGCCTCGAAGTCGCGCTCCCGCACGGCCAGTGCCTCGGCAAGGTACTTCGTGGCCGTCTCGTCGAGCTCGTACTTCTTGCAGAAAGCAACCACCTCTGGAGGAACAGGGTACTGCAAGCAGAGGCCTTCGGAGATCCGCGCGCGGCCCTCCGAAAGCTTCTGTGCATGCCGTGCTTTGCCCGTCGAGCCGCAGCATGATCCGAGGCTTGCACCACGAAGTCGCCCCGGAACAGCCTCCCGACCTGCTGCTTCAGCTCCTCCCTGGGGTCGTCGGCACCCTCCAGGTGGTCCCACAGCGTCAGCAGCGTGCTCTCGAGGTCAGGCCTTCACGAGGCGGGGATCGGGCTTCGGAGACCTCGGCAGGCGGTGAATATGGCTATATCTGCCCCCCCCAAGGCCGAATCTGTTCTTTTCCACCGCCCGTCGGGGCCCCCGAAACTCGATCTCCCAGGCGGTGGCTCTCGTGAGTTCAATCCTCGCCTGGGAGCCTTCCTCTCACGGCGCAGTCCAGCTGCCTGGCCAGGGCGTCCTCGATGTCGAAGCTGTCGGCCAGCTCCGCCACGTCAGGGTCCAGCGCGCACCCCGCCAACTCCGCCTCGGAGGCTCGCAGACCCGGGGGCCTGGGCAAGCTAGGACACTGGCAGAGCTCCGACATGTGCTGTTCCATACGGGTGCCTCTCGTCGATTCGACCCCAGGTTGGGCGTCGCTTGATGGGGGGGCGACGCATGGGGGAGAGAAAAATGCACTTCTCGGGCCCTAGAGGCCCCACTTTGGGCCTAAAGGGCCCCCAGAAGGCCCCTTTTCTGCAGCCCTCGCTGCCCCACCGCCATCTAGCCCCCGCCCACTACGCGACGCGCAACCAGGGAGCTGTCATCGAGCCCCGGGACCATCAAAAACGAACGGCTCCGAGAACAAATCCTCCTCATCCTTACCTCCTCCTGCTCCTCTTTCTCACTCAGCCCTACCCAGATTCACTCAAACTCACTCACACTCACTCCTACTCACGCATGCCGATGCTCACTCATACTCAGACTCACTCGAACTCACTCGTACTCGGACTCGCTCGCACTCGGACTTACTCGTACTCAGATACACTCATACTCGGGCACGCTCAGATTCATACTCACTCATACCCAAGCTCGCTCATACTCAGTCTCGCTCACAATGTGGCTCGCTCTACACTCAGACTCACTCACACTCAGGCTCACTCGCTGTCAGACTCGCTCATACTCAGACTAACTAACACTCATCCTCTCTTCGAACTCCGATCCACTCGTGCTGATAATCACTCACGCATACACATCGTGAGGATGTTTCAGGCGAGGCGTTGGATTCAACATCCCACGGGGGGAGCCGCAGAGGGGGTATTGCACGGGCCCGTTCGCGCCCAGATTGAAGGGATGTCTCAAACGGTTTGCCTCCTTTGGTGCCCAACATATGTTGTTGTCAGAACAGATTGCGCGTAGGTTGTCGGCTTCAGCACTCTATTGGAGAGCCGCCAGGGGGTATTGCAGAGGCTCGTTCGCGCCCAGATTGCTGGGATGACTCAGGCGGTTTGCCTGTTCGGGTGCCCAGCATGTTTTGCTTTCGCAGCAGAGCGCGGGGATGTTCCTTCGGATGCTTCCCTCTTAGTGGTCCAATGATCGCCTCGATACAGCAAACGTGGCACCTGGGTACTCCAATGGGGGAGCCGCCAGAGGTGGGGACATTCCAAGGTTCGCGTCCAGATTGTGGGGTCACTTCCCCAAGCGTATACCTTTTGATGTCCCAATGCTCACCGCGATAAAACAGGCGTGGCTTTTGGGCAACCCCGACTGTTCTGCTCTTTGTGGTCCAATGCTCACCGTGATATAGGAGGCGTTGCATTTGGGTACCCCAAGGCGGAGCCACCAGGGGCGCGGACACTTTTAGATTGGGGGCATATCTCATGCGGTTTGCCTGTTTCTGCCAAAAAGAACTGGTCTGTTTGTTGGGCTGATGTGCCCCTCACTCACTCACTAGCTCTTCCACACTTCCCCCACTCGGACACATTCATTCGCAATCGAACCTCCTCATCAACACTTTTTCCTCGAACGAACTCACTCATCACATTCCGACTCGCACGTGCTCATATTCGATCATAACTCAGAATCGCACGCGCACTCGCTCGTGCCCAGGCTTGCCCATATTCGGCGCTGGGCAAACCTCCCTTTAGCAAACCTCCCCTTACTGAAAACGGCTTGGGACCGAAACCGATGGACCTGGACCCGCAAAAATGACGGCCGCGACGCCCTCTCGCGAACCGAAAACGGCCAGTTCACTAATCGACGTGTCAGGGCAGGAGGTCTGTCCACCCCCGACATACTCAGACTCACCCTCACCCATACCAACTCGAACTCTCACCCACTCACACTGAGGCTCATCCGCCCTCAGATTCATCTACATTCAGATTGCGCCGCAACCAGGCTCTCCCACACTCAGATTTGTATTCACCAAGCTCAACCTCAGAACCCACCCACACTCACTCACACTCAGAACCACTCGCACTTATATTCGCTCGGGCTCGCTCAGACTCACTCATACCCAGACCCACTTGCACTCACATTGGCCATATCCAAACCAACTCGCATTGATGCTCGATCATGCCCAGATCCACTCACGCTCCTACTGACACTCACTCGAATCACCCACGATCATTTTCACTGGCGTTAAGGCTCACACACAATTGGTTGCCGCGACTTTTGTTTGTATGTGTATGTGTATGTATATACATATATGACTGCAGTGGCGCTTCGCGCCATGCACCTTGATCTTTGCAGTTTGGCATGCACGCGGAATGGCAGGAAGGTCGAGCCGACACTTTAGCGATATCTCCTTGTTGCCTTTTTCGGCATCGTCGCTATGATAATGTTTTTCGTCATCCTTCCTCCATGCTTCTTTTTCCTCATTCTCGCCATATCCTGCGCATGTCCCGACCCTTCATTCCCCCAGGGCCAGTTTTTCGTCCTGAGCAGCTTTTCGACAATCCCAGGGCCCAGCGAGGGCCCCGAAAGGCAAAGAAAAACAGCAAAAAGCATGCCGCCGTGATTTCTGTCACGGCGCGAGGGGGTCTGGCGCTGGTGAGTCCCAGGGCCCGGCGAGGGCTCCCAGATGCAGAAAATAGCATCAAACCTGCCGCCGCAATTTCTGTCACGACGCGGGGTGGGGGGGGGGGGGGCTGGTTCGTTGCCCTTCAAACTTGGCCGCCTGCTGCTGCTGCTGCTGCGCCCTCACGAACTTCCTCGTCCCTCCTCCTCCTCCTCCTCTCCTCTCCTCCTCCTGTTGCTCCTGTTCCTGTTCCTGCTCCCCCTCCTCCTCCTCCTCCTCCTCCTCCTCCCCCCCTCCTCCCCTCCTCCTCTCCTCCTCCTCCTCCTCCTCCTCCTCCTCCTCCTCCTCCTCCTCCTCCTCCTCCTCCTCGTCCGTCTCCCCCTCCTCCTCCTCCTCCTCCGTTTCCTCCTCCTCCCCCGCCTCCTCCTTTCGGTTCCCCAAAGGTCTGGACCCCTTGCCCAAGACAAGCTTTTCGTCCCCAGTGGTTTTTTCAGTCCCAGGGTGTACAGCGAGGGCCCCCCCAGAGGCCTTTCAGCTTCAAGTTTCTCATCACGCTGGGGTCCCCGATCCCCGCCACCAGGATTTTTCACAACGTCGACCCCGAGAGGTCTCGGCCCATTCCCCGGGACCGGTTTCTCATCCTGCGCCGTTTTTTGACGACCCCGAAGCCCGGCAAGGATACCGGCGTTGTGAGAACTGCTTTCGGCGGAGCTCCCTATGGACACGAAGCGCGCGAAGGGTGCGCCGCAACACGGCGGGGCCGCCATGCGGGGGCTGCCGCTGGGGCCTTCAGCCTTATGAAGCACGAGAAGTATGCGGTGTGTGTGTGTGTGCCAAAGCGGAGGGGGCGGGGCATGCGAACCATGCTACTGGTGCCTTCGGTGGAGCTCCATTTGGGGCCACGAAACGAGAGAGAGAGAGAGAGATGTGTGTGTGTGTGTGCCAAAGTGAGGGGCGGCATGCGAACCATGCCATTGGGGCCTTCGGTGGATCCGCATGTGGGGCCGCGACACGTGTGAGAGGTGTGCCAAAACGGAAGGGGCACGGGAGGAGGGACGGGGGGAAGAGCGGAAGGAGGAGGAGGAGGAGGAGGAGGAGGAGGAGGAGGAGGAGGAGGAGGAGGAGGTGGAGGAGGAGGAGGAGGAGGAGGAGGAGGAGGAGGAGAGGAGGAGGAGGAGGAGGAGGAGGAGGAGGAGGAGGAGGGGAGGAGAGGAGGCGCGGGGACCGTCTCCTCACAGCGAGGACCCCGCACCACAGGATGGTTGGGAAAAACCTCCCCGCAGCGTCTTTCTCACGACGCGGGGGACCTGTCGCCGTGATCTCCTCGCGACGCGACGGGGCCTGGGGTCTGGGCCCGACCCTGGCCGCCTGCCGCTGGTACTGCGCCACCCGGAGCTGCTCCTGCTGGGCCGCGGCGGCCTGCTCGGCCTGGGCTGCCCGGAGGCGCGCAACTGCCCGCGCCTCCCAGCCCGCGTGGTCGAGCACCAGGCCTAGCATGGCCGCCGCCCGCGGCCCTCGCGGGGCGCAGGGGGCCGGCTCGAGGCGTCGGGGCTCTTCGTGTCCAAGCTTCGGCGCACGACCCTGTGATCCTGGCGTCGCAATCTTTTCGCAACGGGCGTTCTCGCCTTTTTCGGGCCCCGGGACCCTCGCAGATCTATCTGGCTATCTACCCCCGATGGTGACTTTTTTTTGTGATGTCGCATTATTTTGGCAACCTCGGATCTCAGGAGAGGTTCGGCTCGAAGCTGTGGGGTTTTCGGACGTGCTCGTTTTTTTGGTTTCCTCCGCAGCGGCGGCCACAAGTCCGACGACGCGCCGCGCGCCGCGCGCCGCGCGCCCGCGCCGCCGGCCCGTGGACCCTCGCAGCGCCCCGGCGCGCCCCTGGACGGATGCGGGCGAGGCGGGGCGCAGGGTGCCCCCGTCTAGGGTCGGGTCTTCCACCGCACTTCGTGGGACCCTCAGTGGGAGCGCAGCAAACACGCAGCCCCCGCCGACCCGCCCACCACCGCGCGCCGGAGGACGACGGCGCCAGCCCACCGAGAAAGGGCTAGCCCCCCCAGCACGAGCAAGACGCGTGAGCAGCAGCTCCGCGCGCGCGGCCAGCAGGGACGGAACAAGAGAAGACAGCGGAAGCAGCAGCGGGCGTGCGAACATCGGACCTCCTCCTTGAACACGCCCAGCGTGGGCGGCAGGACGGCAGGATCGCGGGACAAGGGCGGGGCGAGACGACACGGCAAGGGAAGGCACGGCAAGGGGACCCAGGGCACGGCACAACGCGGACCCCAGCACGGTAGGGCACGGCGGCACAACAGCGACAGCACGGGCACGGCACCGCGCGGAACCACCACGACAGGGCACAGCAGCACAAGGCCACAACAAGCAGGCACGCGGGCACGCAACACCACAGGGAGGCAGGAAGCAACACGCGAAGGGAGACCGAAGTCATGTGACAGTCAAGCGCGCGTCTGTAACGCCACCACAGGGATGTTACTTTCACGGCACTCGTTGGTATCAAACGATTCCTCGTGGAGAGAAGGGACCGAGAACGCGAGCGACGCCAACCTCAGGGATGAAACTTACACGGGCCGGCAAGGTAACAACAGACGTCCCCGGGACAACGCGAAGAAAGAAGAGACCGACAAGGAGTGCGATGCCCACCGCGGAGAAGAAACATACACGGGCCGATCAGGTAATAACAAGGCGAACAGAGACACGCCAACGGGCATGGGTTCCTGTGATGCGAACAGACGTCCCCGGAACGACACGGAGAAAGAGGTGACCGACAAAGAACGCGACGCCCACCACGGGGATGATACTTACGGCCAAAAACAACCGACACCTGCAATGTGGAACCTTACACAATAGTCGTGCTGAAGCATTGCGTGCGCGCCATGCCACAAACAGGGAAGCAGGACAGAGGAGGAGAGACGAAAAAAGGACGAGGCGGCAAGAAGAGGACACGCAGGACCTCAACACGGCAGCGAGGCCGGAAGAAGGACGCAACGCAAGGACACGGACGGGGCAGGCACGAGAAGCCGCGAGACGAAGGAGAAGCAGGACAGGCAAGCAGGCACGGTGGGTAGCGCGCGCCAGGGGCAGGGGCAGCAAAGAACCCAAGCGAGCACGCAGTCCACGGTCGCCCTGCGCGCTAGCCCCTCATTGGGCGCAGGCCACAACGGTGCCGACACTCGCCAGGCCCCCCCCCCGCCCAAGCACTGGTCAGGGGCCCACACCGGGCGCGCCACTAACGACACCGCCCCGAAAACAGGCCTGGCTTAAAGCTGCGTGGCGCCAGTCATGGCCAAGACTTGGTTCTCGGCGATCTGTTCCAGCCTCGGGGTGATTTCCGGCAGCTGCGCCTTGCCGAGCGCGCCCCAGGAGTACCCGAACAGCCACGAATGGCCGCTGGAGATTCGAGGTGTGGCCCGGCCACGGCGCAACGTTAGGGGGCTAGGAGCCCGATGATGATAATAGCGAGAGTGATGGTGGTGATGTGGGTGCTGGTGGTGATGCAGGACAGGACAAGCGCCGATGTAAGCCCTGGGGGGCAGCCCTCTAACAGCTCGGCCTGGGTGCTGGAGCGCCGAAACTGGAATGTCATAGAACAGGATCGCTTTATCGCCAGAGGGCATGACGATGCATAAGCCGACAGCGCTGCTCCACGACATCCCTTGACAACTTCGTGTGAGTCGAATGCGAAGATGTTGAACTGCATTCCACAAGTTGGTGTGCACCTGTTTCCAACGCCAAATAGATGTACCGTTTTCGTCGCTGGCATCAATGAACCAACCGATATGTGCCTGGCCTGAGTACTCGTTACGCGACCGTCGATTGTTGCCGCCGCTTCCTTGATCGTTTCAGCTTCACGAGATACGCGGCTCGCCGCACACGAAGGGGGGGTTCATCCCGACTCAAGTCGCCACTGCTGACATGACCACGACAGCTTGGCATGCGAGCTGTCTGCGCTACGATTTCCATACAGGCAACCTTGGGAACTTCGACGTGTTTTCTCGACGTACTGAGATGTGGGTAGGTCCACACACACACCAAACTATCACTTGCATGTCTACGATATGCTCCACTGGGACTGGGTGCTGACAATATTTTTCTTGGCCTGCTCTTTTGTGAACACGGCGTGGGGCTCGACTTCACAACAGCTGGCGGATTATATCGAACTGGTCGCTCGATAATTATCGCGTTGTGTTTTTTTTTCCAGAATTACTTCTGCAAACTTTCTGCGTTCCCGCCTTGGGTTCGGTCTTTGTTGCTGTCGCCGTTCGGAACAGGCATCTTTACGGCACGTTTCGTCCCAGGGCTTTCCCACCCAGGCACCGGCACAGATTCGATGAATGAAAGGGGTCGTTCCTGAAGGATGGGTGGTCCTGATGGTGGGAATGGTCCCGGACCCCACTGAGTCGTGCAAGCATTAGGGGAACAAAAAGTGACATGAACATAAAAACTCGGAGGTCCACGCGGATTTCTGGGATCGGCGCTGGACCCCCCTCCCTGGCGCGCGGAGCGCGCCAGGGGCGGCGCCGGAGGCGCCGCCAGGGGGGTCCAGCGCCGATCCGAGGAATCCGCGCGGACCTCCGAGTTTTTATGTTTATGTCACTTCTTGTTCCCCTAAAGATGCTGTTGCTGCTTCTGGCCTCTGGGGGCCCTCGCCAAGCGGCGCGGCCGTCGGAAGGGAAAACCCGCACACGGAAAAGAGGGGTCCTGCCAAAAAGGCAGGGCGTCGGAAGGGAAAAGCCGCGCACGGAAAACCCGCGTCGGAATTTTTGGCAGGGCACCTCCGCACAGGCCGAGGGGTCCTGCCAAAAATGCGCCGGACGGGAAAAAGTCAACACCTCCGGGGAAGGGGCCTCGCCAAGCTCCTCCTCCTCCTCCTCCTCCTCCTCCTCCTCCTCCTCCTCCGCCTCCTCCTCCTCCCTCCTCCTCCTCCTCCTCCTCCTCCTCCCTCCTCCTCATCCTCCTCCTCCCCCTCCTCCTCCTCCTTCTCCTCCTCCTCCTCCTCCTCGCGGCCGTCGGAAGAATGCGCCGGACGGGAAAAAAAGTCAGCACCTCCGGGGGAAGGGGCCTCGGGGGCCCGACGCTGCGGGGAGGCAGGGCGTCGGGGAGCTGGGCGCTTTCTGGTGGTGCTCCATGCTGTGGATGCCGTGGCAGTGGGCACTCCAACGAGCCTCTCGTTGAGTGAAAGATGTGTTTTTTAAGTGTGCAAGACATGTCCTAAAAATGGTTAAAGCATGGTTCTGTTTGTTTTACATATTCAAATTATCACAGTGCGACCCTACCTAGGAGTTGGAGCCTCTAGGACAGTTGGAGTGAAAGATGTGTGTAAAGTGTGCAAACCATGTCCTCAAAAATGGTTCACGCGTGCTTTTGTTTTTTTACATAGTGAAATCATGTTTGGAACATCTTCTGGACACCTGGAAATGATTTGGCAGCATGCTTCCTTTCCATTGATCGTCCTCCACAATGCTAATGAGCAACATGGTGGTGACGCTATTATGTGCCTACTTCTTTTGTCCACGAAAACAATCACATCAACGTGGTGCCAGCTCGCGCGCGTGCTAGTCGCATCACGAGCCGAATGATGGTGGTGACGGCGACGGTGATGAGGCTGGTGATGGTGAAAAGGAGCGGGCTGGAACGAAATGAAATGTCACGGGGTGAATCTGCTGACGCGCGATGAGATGAGGATGAGATGCTGGTGCAATGGGATGGTGGGAAATGGCGACGAAGGCAAGTGCGGTCGATCATCATGGCTGAAACGTGTGCGATGCTGGCAGTGATGACAGATACAGATGAGGGTGTCCGGTCGTGCATACGCAGAGCAAAGCGGTGAGGCCAGGAAGCGTTTGAACCGCACCGTGCAGCCGAGAAGGCGTGAGATCGGAAAAGGGGGAGCAGTGCGACGCCAACAGCGAGCAGGGACGCAGCGCGGCTCCCAAAAAGGCTGCTACTGCGCAACGGTTGCTTCAAACCCTGGAGGGGCCAAACGTGAAGCGCATTGGCGACCAGAGGAAGGAAGAGGAGGAGGAGGAGGAAGAAAAAGAAAAATCGGGAAATTCAGAAACACCATGTTAATAAGAAAAACAGAAATATGAATGCTAACAGTAATACAAATGGGATTAGTTATAAATCATAATACTAACGCGACTACTAATAATGTCACAAATAATACTAAGCAATAGTACTAAGAACACGACTAAGAATACTTATGATAATGTAAAGAAGAAACATAAATACTGATGGTACTAAAAACGAATACGAAACATCATCATAATAATACGAGTTACAAGAAGAAGGAAAGGAAACTTAGAAATAATAGTAATAATAAACATCATACAACATAACACGTACCGGTCGCAGAAGCTGGCAGCGTGTGCGACTGCAGCCATGGCGGGACAACGCGCGAGACGGTGTCCGCCAAAACTCCTGCCGCGCAGCATCGGCGCAGGCAACGGGCCGCGGGGGCCGAGGGGAAGGGCAGAGAGGGGACGGAGGAAAAACCGCTCCTCCTTGCTTTTTCCCACGCCCTCGCCGAGGAGGGCAAAGAGGGGACAGAGGAAAAACCGTTCCTCCCTGCTTTTTCCCGCGTCCTCTTGGCAGGCAGCGCCCCACTCGCGGCGGGCGGGCGAAGCCTGCCACTGCCCCCGCTG